ACAAAAGGAGGCAAATTTGTATTATTTCATCACGTCAAAGGAAACATTGTTATGCATGTACTAATGTCTTGCTCTTTCAGGTAATCCCCTTACAGGCTGAAAACACCACAATCAAAGTTAACAGCAGTGATTGGAACAGGGTGACAAATACTTTGACGTTTTTGGAACCAAAGCAAATTAAATAGTTATGTAAAGATAAAAGGGGTTTTCCTTAAGACTAATATAATTAACGTGGCTGAGTGAAAGCTTAGCGGCAATAATCGGATCTACTGACAGCATTAATTTGTGAGGCGTTCATCGGAGCCCCATACCATTGGTTTGCGTGTTGCATTGTTGTTAGGTGATTAGTATTTTTTCTGTTACACGCCAACATGTTTGACATTCTGCCTTGGAGGAGTGTCCTGGTGTCCTGAAACGTTTTTTCAGGTTGTAATTCTTACCAGAATCTTTCAATATGACAACATGAATGCCTGACATGAGTTTTCTTTCTTGGTTGTCGACATCATACCCGTCATTGTTGGTAGGATGCTAAACATGACCCCCAACGTGTTGTTAAACAAATCTGTTTCCCAAACGTTTTCTTCACTTCGGAATCTTTTTACTTCTTCTCCAGAGCAGTCCTAATTCAAACCTATTTGACAGGGTTTTCGGTCCATTGATCACTTGATTGTCTGGTTTGTTAACAGGCCATACTCGTATGGCAGGGAAGGCAAAAACTACTTCCACTTTTGAGTGAGTGAGTGTGGTTTTAAGCCGCTTTTAGCAATATTCCAGCAAAATCACGGCGGGGGACACCACAAATGGGCTTCACACATTGTACCCATGTGGGGAATCCAACCCGGGTCTTCAGCGGGTCTTCTTTAACCATTAAGTTACCCCACCGCCCCTCTTCCACTTTTGAGGCAAATTTTGTGAATGGCGGGTGGTACCGGGAGGGCAGGGCATGTTTAACCTTCTCGGGAACACCTGGTGTCATCACTGATTTTCAATGATCCATTCATATAACTTTCACGGCTTTTTCCCCTTTACACCAAACGGAATTTGTTTCAGTGGACAGTCAAGACTGGGTGTTCTTTTGCACTGACGTTCTATGGGTATTTCACTGAAGGGATGACGTCCAACGTCAGAGAACTGAAATACCGATCTCTTTGGCGTTAGATCGTTGACTAAGCCATAGCTTTAATTCGATTCCCCAAATGGGTACAATGTGTGAAGCCCGTTTCTGGTGTCCCCCGCCGTAAAATTGCTGGAATATTGCTAACAGCGACGTAGAGCCATACTCACTCACTCACTCACTCACTCACTCACTCATAGCTTGAAATTACCAGGGTCCGTATTACGATTTGGTCTCCGAAAGAACCTATATACTACTTTCTAAGGAGGAACGAATACATGACATTCATTCAGGAAAACTTCTACTCAGGAAACTCATCCTATTCCAATCAGATACATGAGTGAGTGAGTGAGTTTAGCTTTACGCCGCACTCAGCAATATTCCAGCTATATGGCGGCGGTCTGTAAATAATCGAGTCTAGACCAGACAATCCAGTGAGCAACAGCATGAGCATCGATCTGCGCAATGGGGAACTGATGAAATGTGTGAACCAAGTCAGCGAGCCTGACCACCCGATCCCCGTTAGTCGCCTCTTACGACAAGCATGGGTGACTGAAGATCAATATTCTAACCCGGACCTTAACGGGTACAGGAAACAAGAGGCAACATCTATTAAACTGTACAAGCGTATGTATCATCGACAATGTTTCTAGTTACGTAATTTAACTTCTCACGCTCAAGCCAACGGGCATCCCATACGTGTGCTATATTAAGGTTTCAGCCGAAACTTGTCCAATGACACCAGACCTGTATACCATTAAAGACGACCTGATTTTAAGGGACATTAATAGAATCCTGACAAAGATAGACGCTTCCCATATCACCACACTCCTTGAACACCGGGGAACCGATTTTATTTCCGTTAGTCACCACAGCTTACGTTGTCAGCACGGTGTCCGACTTCATTGGTTTCACCGTAGTGGTAAATATGTGAGACCTGCATCCTTAGTGATTTCCTCCTACATCGGTCTCACATGGCGTGGAGTAAATTTAGCGGAAGATTGTACAGAAGGTCGTTATTCAAAACTCCCCTGTACAGTCTTCTACAAGCATTCATATATCTGAACCCGTGAAGGTCCGGGTTGGAATTGGTTCCCAATTGCGCAGATCGATGCTCATGCTGTTGATCACTGGATTGCCTGGTCCAGACTCGATTATTTACAGACCGCCGCCATATAGATGGAATATTGCTGAGAGCGGCGTAAAACTAAACTCACTCACTCACTCATGTATCTGATTGAAATAGGATGAGTGAGTATAGTTTTACGTCGTTTTGGCAATATTACAGCACAATCATTGTTATGGGGAACTAGAATTGACCTTCACACGTTGAAGCCAAGTAAGGAATCGAACTGGAAATTAGACCTGATAAGTTAACACTTTCACCTTTCGCATACCCCCCGCTCTGAAATCACGATATGCCAGATATTGTTTCATTTACGTGAATACATCGGGGTTTTTCTTTCCATAACGGTAAAAATCCGGGTTAGAATTGGTCTTCAGCAACCCATGCTTGTGTAAGAGACGACTTACGGGATCGGGTGGTCAGGCTCGATGGCTTAGTTGAAACATGTCAGCGTATCCCAGTTGCATAGCATTATGTTGATAACTTTAATGTCTAGTCAAGATTCGTTTATTATTGACTGCCGCTGGAATATTGCTTAGTGCGGCAATAAACAACAAACAAACGCATATAAGGTTGGAAGAAGCGGTTCTGTGGGGCCTCGTGTTTGTTAATTTGTTAATAAGTTAATTTGAAGCAATGTGGGATGAAATAGTCGTATGTGATGCTACGAAATGAGGAAATGTACCAAAACGGGGTGATCGTGGTGCTGTGCAAAGCGTACAGGCCAAAGAGCAAGCGAGGTTATTCGCCGAGAGTTGGTGAAGTGGGGAGATCCACCACAAGGTCCAACTGCTTTGTGTTTAATATGTGTTTGATTTCGCCGACGAGACACGTTTCATTTTGATATTGATTCATAAACACGTGATTATGAAAGGAGTCGTACAGTGGCTTCAGTAAAGATTTCTAAGATAACCATGCGGTGGTATTTGGTTAGGGAATTTGTGACAATACAGTTTGCTATTAACTGATTAGAGAATACATTACCGGGAATAACTTTACATTGCTACTTTCAGCAGGTGACCCCAATACCAGTATATGCCAAATAACTCTTCACATGTCCGGACCTTTAATTGCTTATGGCGGAAACCCTATCTACCGGACGTTCACTGCATAAAACGTTTTCATGTACGAAACGAACACCCGGTGTCTATCTTACAACAGATAGAATCTGTTTTGTCAAATAATCCAGATTGATTATTCCCTCGAGTTGACATTTGAGTCGAGATTGTTTTAGATATTGTCGACATGTTTTGTTAAACCGGATACTTGCTAATCCGGACGACATCGGAGATCAAGCAAGATGCTGTCCGGTTTAACCATGTTTCTATGTATCTATAACTTGACCATGCATGTTATCTATACACGTGTTAATCAGGACCATGCATGTTTATGTATCTTAAACCGGACATGCATGTAGTTAATCCGGAGGACATCGGAGAGCAAGATATGTATCTATAACTTGACCATGCATACTTGGTAACTGGAACTCATTAAGTCACGGCTACAATATTAATCTCCACAATCCACCATATACCCACGGAATCTCTCACAGCACGCAGGTTATAAATAAAGGATAGCAGAGTAAACACTGTAAACATGCACCAGCCTTGTGTGCCAATCTCGTTCAATAACCAGCCATGCATATTTGACGTATAACACTGGATGAATAGACTCTAGGATACACAAGGCAAAAAGCAGGGCATTTTCCTACCAAGTTGCATGTCAGATAGCCTGTTCTAGCTTGATATCGATGGGGCTGGTGACTGTTGACTGCTGACAAGTGCTATAATGTCATTATGCCGAGATATGGAAATTCGAGTGAGTGAGTTGGGTTTTACGCCGCTTTCAGCAATATTCCAGCAATATCACCGCGGGGTACACCAGAAATGGGCTTCAGACATTGTACCCCAGTCTGTCTCACAGTCCGTGAACCACATTATTTTTCTAATGCCTGACCCTTTCTGCAATGCTAAAGCCCTAATTAAAGCAAGTCTAAATTTCCCCAGGTCCTGAATCTCACAACTCACTGGGGCTCCTTTCCAATTATATATATTCAGGGACTAAGCGTTTGCCTAAGTGTACCCATGTGATCCCGGGACTTCGAGCGAACACTTTACCACTAGGCTACCCCACCGCCCCCATGGCAATTAAACCACAGGCTCACTACAACTCACTTCATTCAAGAGTAAAATCACACCACAGAGATATTCAAGTCCCTTTGTCTGCACAATACTGAATGACACTGACACTAAGAAATATATTAACAATTTTCAAAAATATAGGAAGTAAGTCCTGACTTGACTTCGTTGATATTTCATCTTAAAGCTTTTAGTCTAAGACAAAATAGATAATCTGTTTCCAGGCACAACTAACCAGAAAACGGAAAGTATAAAATGTTATTCGCCGTGGATAAGGTTTGAAGGCATTATCCGAAGTTGAATTATTTTTCACCAAAAGGAGCAATTTCTTTCTCTTTACATATGCAGCACAAGTATCAACGCCCTCTTGATATTAAGATAAAAATGACATCACACACAACCACGTTTTGATATCCGTTTTGCAACATGGCTGACCAAGTTGTTCAAAGCACCACCGCTGTCTTAACATAGTCGTTTCTCATACTCGTAGGTGTGAAACAATCAAAAGGTTCTGGCTCAATTATTGTTCTGTATTGTAGCGTTTAAACCGGGGAAATGCAAATATGCAAAAATAAAAGCAAATGATGACACAAACATTAATTTTATGATTTTCGTTTTCCAGGTCTGCACAAGAGGGTACCGATGAAGGAAAACCAGCTTCTGAAGTCATCATCTCTTCCAAGCATCCCGACATTCAGAAAGCCATGTTGAACCCCAAATGGGAGTCCTTGATGACCCAGTTGACCCGGAAGATGTTACTCCAGATTCTGGACGACCCCAAGGTCATTCAAACCCTCCTGGATGCCCGCCAATCAACGCCCGAGGAGGTTCCCAGCAAACGTTACGTTGAATCTATTGCAAGTGACCTTATTAAACGATCCGACGGTACCCAACTTGAATCTCACCCTGCAAGTCCGAACAAACGTTATCTTGAATCCATTGCCGGGGATCTTTTGAAGAGAGATGGCGAGAAGATGGAAAAGAGGTACCTTGAATCCATAGCAGGTGATCTCCTCAAGAGGTCTGGCTCAGTTGGCACTGAAAAACGTTACCTGGAGTCGATCGCCGGAGATCTGTTGAAGAGGGCTGATTCTGAAAAGGCTGACGAGAAACGTTATCTGGAATCCATCGCAGGAGATCTTCTGAAGCGTGATGATTCTGGTCGCAACGAAGAAAAGAGGTATCTTGAATCTATCGCTGGGGATTTACTGAAGAGGTCGCGGCTTGAGCTACAGGCCCATAAACGTTACCTGGAATCAATTGCTGGGGACTTGTTGAAGAGATCAGAGATGGATGACGAACCAACCAAACGTTACCTTGAATCGATTGCTGGGGATTTACTGAAGAGGTCAACGGAAGAGCACAAGGTTAAGAGATATTTAGAGTCAATCGCGGGTGACCTCCTGAAAAGGTCGGAAGGAACACAAGGTGAGCGCAAGCGCTATCTGGAATCTATTGCGGGGGATTTACTCAAAAGGGCTGACATGGAAAGGGGGTATCACAAGCGGTATCTTGAGTCAATTGCTGGAGATTTACTGAAAAGATCAAAAGATAAGCATGCTGAACAAAAGCGATACCTTGAATCAATCGCTGGAGACCTTCTGAAAAGATCACAGGGTGACACCTTTCCGGAACAAAAGCGATATCTGGAGTCCATTGCAGGTGATCTTCTTAAGAGATCAGCCGTGACGGAGACGCAAAGTAAGAGATACCTGGAATCTATTGCCGGGGATTTGCTCAAAAGATCTCAAGAAAATAATCTACCCAACAAACGCTATCTCGAATCCATCGCTGGGGACTTACTGAAACGTAACTCTGGTGATAAACGCCACCTTGATTCAATCGCAGGAGATCTCATTAAGAAGTGGCATATGGATTCAATTGCAAGTGATTTGATCAAGAAAAGTCATCTCGATTCAATCGCGGGAGATCTTTTGAAAAAGAGAAGTCTCGATTCAATTGCGGGGGAGTTTATCAAGCGCAATCTTGATTCCATTGCTGGAGACCTGTTCAAGAAACGCAGTCTAGATTCTATTGCCGGGGACCTGTTCAAGAAACGCAGCCTAGATTCTATTGCTGGTGACCTGTTCAAGAAACGCAGTCTTGATTCCATTGCCGGGGATCTGTTCAAGAAACGCAGTCTGGATTCGATTGCTGGGGACCTGTTCAAGAAACGCCATTTGGATTCGATTGCTGGCGATCTTCTGAAGCGAGACGCATCGGACATGCCCCATCCCCTCCACAAACGTGACGCCCCCATTTCCACCCACAGATCGAGACGATCCCTTGAGGCCTACTCTCCAAATTACTTCGGCGGACCAACAGCTCTCGACTGGGCGGCCTTTGAAAAACGTTACATAGATTCAATTGCCAGTGACCTTCTGAGAAAACGGACAGCTAGCCCAGTGTTCAGACGCCTCCTTGTTCCCTACCCCTCCCATGTGGTCAACAGGCGGATGGTCGACAGCATAGCGACAAACCTGATCCGGAAGTGACGTCATCATGACGTCAAATGAGTATGAGCCCATGTTAAAAGTTGACATTGTATCGGATGGACTATTACTGAGCGAAGAATGTGATATATTTTCACTAGGGTTGTGAATAAGTTTAAATATCCAGGTTCATGAGATGGCGAACAATTTACTGAACATACGAATATGCACATTTAACTGCTTGTTGGACGTGGAATTGTCACTTCATATCAGTATGTTACATATTTAGCAATTGTTAGCACCGCAATTTGCCCTACATCATTAAAAATCTCAGCCTGAGTTTATTTTTCTGGCATAACATGTGGATTACACCCGGTGCACCGATACAACCATATCGATAATTTAACGATAACGATTCTAACCGATGGAATAAGTTTATGTTCAAAGATTTAAGACTTCATCAAGTTTTATGTCCATAGAAATAGTAGGGAGCTTCTGATCGAAATGTAAACGGTAACGATTCTAATCGATGGAATAAGAATATGTTTTAAGATTAAAGATATATTCAAGATTTCATCAGGTTTTTGTTGAATTAGCAGGGATTCTCTTTTCGATGTTACTCGATGTTTTTCGATAACATATATTCTATCATTAAAAATAGCTAGTACCTTCGCAGAAACCATATATACTCATGTCCCACCCCTCTCCGATAAAAAAATTGAATTATAACGGCCATTATTCTAATTTTGATCACTGCTATCATTTTCTTGCAACACTGCTAAACCGTGTAGGATCTCGGATTGTACTAAAACTAGACAATAAAGGATATTTTTATGTTGATCTTACCAGTTGATTTTGAATAATGACAACTTGTACATGATCCGGAGGAAGATGGTAATAAAAGGTGACCTGTGATCTGACTGGCATATGTATTGTTGACACCCGGTGTTTCATTTCTGACACGACCAACTTTGCTTGTGGGCTGCTTGCTGTGTGATATGCAAATATGTGAGCGTGCGTGCGTGCGTATATGTGTGTGCGCGCGCTTGGGCGTGTGTCTGTGTGTGTTTTGTTTGTTTGTTTGTCTGTTCTGTGCGCGCGTGTGTGTGTTTCTATGTGTTATTTATGGAAGCGCATTAGTGCCACAGCCTAAATGTTTAGGTTATACGTTCACATTGCTAGATGATGCTTGCGTCTACATGTATGATATTTTCACCGACATAAAAGATATTTTCATCATCAAAGATGTTATTGGTAGTGTCGTCTACGTTGATGTCAGATGTTTTGGAATTTATACAAAATTGTGGCACACATACGGTTCCATAGGTGTTGCAGGCCTCAGTCAGCAATATTTGATTTATATCACGTCGTGAAGCAGTCACTGCCGCCGGACACGATGGCACTCAATCAGCGTATTAACGTCACGTCAGGCCTTACCACATGAATGATATAATGAAGCCCTACCCTCACACGGAACCTCGAAAGCAGTTAAATGGGCGAGTGAAGAAATTACAGTAATGTTAAAGTAATGACCCGTTATGCATACAGTCTGTAGGTTAACTGTGTCCGTATTGAAAAAAATACGCGAAAAGGTGGCAACATGACGTCAGACGTCGTAGAGTGTGACGTCATCAACTACGTTATCATCATTACACGGATCCAATCGTCTGATTCCAAGATTCGAACAGATTGTTTTTCTGGGTTTGTTGGTATCATACCAGTTTTACCAAACTTGTAGGCCCCTAAGACCCGCATCACGCCCCTCACTAGTACAGGTGTAGCTGACCTATTATTATACGATATTTATATAGCGCACATATCCAGCAACTAGTGCTTGCTCAAAGCGCTGGTTATTTTTCCCTCGATCATTGGATGTCAATCTCAACGGCACATCGTGTTATCAATCTCAACTCCCTGAGGAGTATGCAACTCTTGCAGCCACTAGACGCACCGAGTTATTGTGGCTTTCTCATCCTTACGAGGTACCCATTCACAGCTGGGTGGACTGGGACACATAGTCACAGTACTTTGTCCAAGTTCACTGCACGTTGCTGTACCCGCAACTAGGTGTTTGCACGTATTCATGTGGCCACCATCTGGTCATATACCAACGGACTGGTGGATTCTTTAAGTGCACAGGGTTGTGTACTGTGAACTAGGGGTTGTGACAACACTGAAAGAGTCTGCACACAAAGTTGACTCCAAGGTTTTTACACCCGGTCACAGGTGGGCTCGATCCCGACACCTCAAGCTCGCTGGATCGCTAGCCTGGCGCTTTAGCCAGCTCGCCCAACGCGCCACCTACTATATTGCTGAGTGCGGCGTAAAACAACAAACCTACCAACCAACCGCAATACAAATTTAAAACTATTCATAGCGGGTTACGCAAATACAACAATAACTCACTCACTTATGTAAAATAATAGAAAATAGACGTTAAAACAAAAAAAACTAACAATATCATCTTAACTTAAAAAAAATTCAGAAACGGTTTCATACCCTTTTGTTCTGGTCACCCTTTTCTCTTTCGTACACACCAATCAATGGGCCAAAGCCAGAATTTGGTGAAGGGTGGAATTTCGTATTGTAATGATCATTATTGCCTATTGTGATAGAAAACACAATGTTTCACCAAAATAGCCTGTTCATTTTATTAAATATGCGCGTTTAATCAGCACGGCAACAGGCAGAATTGACCAATCAGAATGCAGGGAGTGCATGTGTCCGGTCCTACAACATGGCCATCCTCATGCTGTAAAGTGTTTATCTCACTTTACATTTGGATGAAGACGAACCTCTATCTGCATTTACTGATATGTGTTGGCGCAGAAATCGTGAATATAGAGATATGTAGATAGATCCGTATGGCTTAGTGAGGCAAATAGGAAGACCATTACAGTCGGCGCTGTAATCAGCGGCTCACAGATAAGAACTGAATACAACAAGGCTTCCCAAGGAAGGATAGTGGGTCTCTGCAAACTACCTGAAACTTCCTTTGCAAATCCTTCTAAAAGGTAAAAGTGCACTACCACAAGTTCAAGCAAGTTAGTACGTTTTGCCATAGGAGTGCATTGTTGGAAGCCAAGAAAATTTGTTCCCGATATATGTACTCGCAAGTAGAATCTTGGACGAACCATCAGCTGCAAAACTGCTAGAAGCTGTTAGAGAAGAAAGGTATTGACATAAGTATCTAGTCCCTTAAGTACCTACCTTATGGTACCTCATGTTACCAGCAGCAGACTTGATCTCGTCACTATATGGCTGGAATAATGCCCATGTGACGTAAAGCCCAACTTAACTCAACTACCAGCAGCATACCAAATGTGTGTATAACGTTGAGAGAAAGCAACCGTACATGGTGACCCTACCGATATACATTATAAGTTGATTCACTGGTCACGAGGGGGAAATGGGTTGATGTACCCTCGATGTTTGTTTATGTTCCTTGATCCCGAAGGGCGAGGGGAACATAAACAAACATCGGGGGTACATCAACCCATGGGCCCCGAGGGACCAGTGAACAACATATTTATCTTACCGAACACCTTAATGTTAATTTTGAATTGTTTGTAGCACGGGTACAAATCTTTTTGTAGCCATCGCTAGATTTTGCCGACAAGAAAAACAGATTTAGAGTTATCTCCCTTCCATCGATTTGCATTCGCAAAACATCGGTAATTTCCGTACATCATACGTGATTCGATGTTATTCGAGATAAAGAATTACTACCACGAAGTACCAAATGAGTTGCCATTGACAGCCGGGTACATTGAAATGTTACTCATTTGTAAGCGGGGTACATTGAAAATAATAGAAGAGCGCTCAGCCAATCAGAAAGCGACATTTATGTGTGAGATAAGATAAGATGTATTTAGAATGCTAATGGGGATGGCATCAGCACATATCTTTATAGTTCCAGTTGAAATGTCTCCCGATTAATAGATACCCAAAGCTGCAGTTCGTCCAGCCAGCATCAATAATATGTGAGGTCACTGTATCTCATTTGTGTATGTGATCATTACTCAGAATATCAACAAGAAAATGTCTGGTCCAGATTCCGTAATTTACAGACTGCCGTCATATAGATTACTAACGAATCTGGTGTGAAACTCATGCAAACGCAATTAGACCTAATCTAAATTACAGCTACCATTAGTGTACAACGATGTGTAAGGCCACAACACAACGCATATCATGATGCATTTGTCAAGATACTCTACATAAACCATAAGAGCCAAAACTACAACATGAAGGCCAAACAATTAACAGTGAAGCCGAATGATCTTTCTCGCCTACACGTTTTTCTTCTCGCTGTACCAACAATCAGGCACCATAAGAGCCAAAACTACAACATGAAGGCAAAACAATTAACAGTGAAGCCGAATGATCTTTCTCGCCTACACGTTTTTCTTCTCGCTGTACCAACAATCAGGCACCATAAGAGCCAAAACTACAACATGAAGGCAAAACAATTAACAGTGAAGCTGAATGATCTTTCTCGCCTACACGTTTTTCTTCTCGCTGTTCCAACAATCAGGCATGCTCTTCCACAATGCCACCTGTAATAGTTAGAAACTACACATCGTCTGAGCCAGTTACCAAGAATGGATATTCCTAACTGTCCACAACAAAATATGTAAGTACGTCACAAGGTCCAGGTTGGACAGATGGGGGATTTACGGCTAAATAGAACGCCATGTTATTACCACCTATTAACGTACTGCGCACTGGATGCTGAGAATCACATGTCAGTGGAAGGAGCGAGGGTGTGTGTGGATTTTTATCTGGGATAAAGTACTGGATATTAATTTTCGGAATAAGTCACCGGAATTCTTGACTAATCAGAAAAAGTATATACATCATATGTTAAGCATGAACGGAATCATATCAAAAGTGGCTGCTGAGAATTATACATCATATGTTAAGCATGAACGGAATCATATTAAAAGTGGCTGCTGAGAATTATACATCATATGTTAAGCATGAACGGAATCATATCAAAAGTGGCTGCTGAGAATTATACATCATATGTTAAGCATGAACGGAATCATATTAAAAGTGGCTGCTGAGAATTATACATCATATGTTAAGCATGAACGGAATCATATCAAAAGTGGCTGCTGAGAATTATACATCATATGTTAAGCATGAACGGAATCATATCAAAAGTGGCTGCTGAGAATTATACATCATATGTTAAGCATGAACGGAATCATATCAAAAGTGGCTGCTGAGAATTATACATCATATGTTAAGCATGAACGGAATCATATCAAAAGTGGCTGCTGAGAATTATACATCATATGTTAAGCATGAACGGAATCATATCAAAAGTGGCTGCTGAGAATTATACATCATATGTTAAGCATGAACGGAATCATATCAAAAGTGGCTGCTGAGAATTATACATCATATGTTAAGCATGAACGGAATCATATCAAAAGTGGCTGCTGAGAATTATACATCACATGTTAAGCATGAACGGAATCATATCAAAAGTGGCTGCTGAGAATTATACATCACATGTTAAGCATGAACGGAATCATATCAAAAGTGGCTGCTGAGAATTATACATC